AGGCAGCAATTTCTGGTGTTTACCTATGCCGGCATCTTGGTTTCTCCCTCAGCAGAGATCTTGTGAGCGGACCTTGTGCTCCCGTCTGTGTGTGTGTGTGTGTGTGTGTGTGTGTGTGTGTGTGTGTGTACATCCGCAGTCACGCTCGGACACTCCTTGATTTGCATGGTCCGTCTGCATCCATGAGCACTCTTCAGCCCCTGCCTTCTCCAAGACAGCGCCCCCTGCTTGACTTTCACCCCTCGGATCTACCCAGAACCCGGGAAGTCCAGGCACCTGGCTCTGCCTTCCCCAGAGGAGGCTGCAGGAGGGGCGCTTGCACTGGCGCTCCTCGACCAGCAGAGGGCGCGACGGCCCACTGAAGCGTTTCCAGGTCTTGGAGAGGACTTGGGAGATTCCACAGGTGCCCGAGGAGCCCCGCAGGGCACCTTCTCCACATCTTGCAGGGTGGCATCTCTGTTTCCTGGGTCGAGGAGGGGACAATACACATTTACACAGGCTCGGGTGGGCCCAGGACAACCCTCTTTGGCAATGGCGGATCCGGGGCTATGGTGGAAAACCTGGAGGACGCTCGGGCATCTGGTCACACATTTCCCAGCCTCTCCTGGGTGGCGAGAGCAGTGACAGCCCACCAGGGAGGGATTAGAAATGTTTGGGGGGCTCTAGTGAGCCACACAAGCCTCCCGGGTGTGCGGGGCTGCTGATCCAGGGAGGGTACCCGGAATTTTTTGTTCATTCGCCGCCAATCCACCCTGGTTCACATCAGCATGGCTGCACATGTGCCTCGGAGGGGGACCTGGAGCCATTCCAGACATTAGTCCCAGGGGTGGAGGCCCAGCTCCACGGGACAAAACTGCGGATGGGAGTGCTGGCAGCTCTGGGAAGCCTGTGCCATGGGCTGACGGGCTCCAAGACGCATGGCACGCCTTGGCAACAGAACTGAAATCAATGCGCACAACAATGTTCCTCCTTCCCCCCAGACCCCCTGCCCCCAATGATCCATCACCAAATGCACAGCCATAAAAATCATGATGTGCAGCCTGGCTGTTGGGGCTCCGTGGATAGAGAGGCGGCCCTCGAACTGAAGCGTCACCGCTGGGATTCTGTTTCAGGACAACTACCTGGGTTGCAGGCTCCATCCCTGACCTTCCTTGGTCGGGGTGGGTGCCGTAGGTGACCTCTATTTGTGCCTCGCTCACATTGAAGTTTCTCTGTGGGTCTCGCCTCCTCCATTTCACCCTCCCTAAAGATCAATGGGTAAGGATCCTTGGGTGAGGATTTACAAAGCAAAAAAGAAAACACCTACGTGGGTTCACGAGTATCCAACTCTGCCATAATTGCAGAGTCCTTGTCCGGGCACACACCCTCCCCACCCCCACCCAGTGCTCAACCCAAGGCTCTCCCGCCTGCCCCTGCGCCTCTCCTGCTGCTGAGATCACTGGCATGCGAGCACGGACCTGTGCCCCTTTTTCTTCTTCCTCCTGTTCTCCTTGGGTCCCCCTCTGGGACCAGGGCCTTGGCCAGTGCCCTTGGCCCCCCAAGGGAGGACGTCCCAGGCTGGATGGTTGAGCAGGTGGTCGGTCCTGCCCCCTCTGCTCCAGGACTGGTGAATAATGAAGGCTTAGGCGGTCAGGGCACGCTTGACCTCCAGCAGGTTGAACTGAGGCTTAGGTCGGGATTGTTCCTGGAGCAAGCGCCACTGCTGTAAGCTGGTGTGCTTGACGGGCGGCTCTTGCGCGGGCTCCTCGGACCCGGGACCCATGAAGCTGGGGGCAGTCTCGGGCCCCCGTGGGGTGGACCCGGCGACCTTGTGCTCCATCTCAGGGCAGAGGGCTTCCCCGCTGTCTCCTTCCAGTTCACTGGTCTGGACGTAAAAGAGCACACAGGCGCGTTGGCTCGGTCCTTCAGATCTGCCCTATGACGTCGGTTTTTAAAAAACCGACGAGGTCAGTTATACTGTAGGTGTGATCAGAATCTCAGCTGAGCATCAAATGTGATACACCGTCCTGAGCCACCAGGCAAAAAGCCACAGGGAATCTTGAGAACCGCTGTCTTAGACAGACCTTTATACCCTGTGACGATGACAGTTTATCCCTTCTTTTACACAAATATTCTGCCCCACACCATGGAAGCTGTTATATGTGTGCTATGTAGATATGAAAGTAATTGAGGTGATAATGCCTGCAATACTAATTCGTTTTTAGTGAGGTCTGTCTCTCCTTTATTGACTAAAATGCATTTTAAGAGTCCTAGTCACAGGCTCATTTAAAACCCAACTTCTCAATTACATACACATGTATATGCACGTACATTTTTTAAGTTATTGAATCATATTTATGGTATTGTCTGTTTGAGTGACATTGGACATACTTACCATATTATGTCTCTCAATCCATGAATATGGGATATTTCAATTTACAGGACTCATAGTTCTTTACTTTGTGGTTTTTTTTTCAATAGCATTTTATAGGTTACATACACAGAATTATATAACTTTTATTAGATTTATTTTTAGGAATTTCAGTTTCTGATCATATAACATGCATTGTAAATTTCCTTTCCAATTTTTTTTGTTTGTTTAGAAGAGATTCACTGATCTCATTTCTTCCTAACTTCACTAATTACAGATTTCAGGAAAATTTCTAATTATGCATTCATGCTGAGCTAATAATATAAATTATGATAACTTTCTTGCCTCTTTCTTCTTTCACGTTTCTAATTGCATTGAATAGGAATCCATCATAGTGTTGAATATAAGTGGTAAAAGCAGAAATTCTGTTGTTTTTTAACAAATTTTTATTGATTTTGTAGAAGAAGGAGAAGGGAGATAGAAACGTCGATGATGAGAAGCAATCATTGGTTTTGTGCCACTTGCACGCTGTCCACTAGGGATGGAGCCCACAACCCAGGCACGTGTCATGACAGGGAGTGAACCTATGACCTCTTATTTCCAGGGCCCATGCCAAATGACTGAGCACCATCAGAAGGCTTAGTTCAATGATTTTGAACTTGCACATGGCAGAGGAGTAGCTATTTCCTGTTTATTGCCCAGATCATTGTTAGCTAGAGCAGGGATTCAAGCCTCTTTCATCCTCTTTAGTCATTGTTTTCCTGGGGCCTTTTTCTGGGGAAAGATGAGGGGGAAGGATCCTCAGTTCAATCATCTGCTCTTCATTTCCTTCTTCAGTTGTACACAGCAGAACCCTCTTCCTTATTTGAACTCTTAGGAATTTTTTAATTCTCTGTGCTTGCATTTACCATTTCCACTAACATATAATCTGAAGAGTCTAGGGATTTTGCCTTACCTTTGAAGATTGGGTTTGGGGTAAAGGAATTGAGAAGTTACTATGGCACATAGCAAAACTTAGTATACTTATTTATGTTGATAAATATGTTTTCTTATTGATTTCAGAGAGAGGAAGGGCAGACGGAGAGAGACTAACATCAATGTTGACAGACAATGATTGATTGGCTGCCTCTTACAAGGCCCCTAAGGGAATCTAGCCTGAAACTCTGGCATAAGCCCTGACCAAGATTCAAACCAAGTCCATCTGGTTCATGGGTGGAGACTCAACCATTCAACCACACCAGCCAGGCTAGTTGCTCTATTTATTATTTGAAGGAAGAACCAGAGTACAGGGCCTGGGTTATAGAATGTTAAAATGCTGTGTGACAGAATGAGAAATCTAGGAAATATTAGTGCAAGTGAGTGCTGTTGGACAAGTTTCTGCAAGGGACAGCACTGGGTAGCAGAACTACAGGAGGGCACACTGCCCACAGAATTAATTGATTTTTTGCTGGAAAATGAAACTTCTTCTGCTATAAGCTTACGTGGGTGACTTGCAACAAGTCGATTAATGTTTGAGATAATATTCTGAGAATTAATTAACTTTGGGATCTTGCAGGTCAATGACCCTTCCGTTGGTTTACAATCCTTTACATTGAATTAGAGGGCAGTAGCTTTGCCTCTTTCTAGAATAGGTGGTCTTTGATGGCTTTCACATTTGCTTTTCCCTAAATTTTAAAAGTAGAGTTACTTAGATTTTCACTTCTTAAACTTCTCGCAAGGTTACTTATGTTCATAGATTTTTAAAAGTAGGACTTAAATTCCCAAACATTGGATAATGTGGAAAATAATTCATATGGTGGTGGCATCAATAACTTGTTAACTTGTGATGGCTTTCAACGAAATACAGGTAGCATGGCACTTCTGATAAAAATAATTTTCTACAGCATCTATGAAATAGTGACTACAGTTAATATTGTATTGCATATTGAAAAGTTTCATGTTTCTACCAGAAAACACATTTACATTCTGTTAGGCTGCCAGCCCCCAGGTGTTTTCTATGTGTTGTAACCCCAATGACCTATCAGCCTGTGATCTGTATAATCCAATTTACTGTGGTTATTTCCTTTTGTAGATTTCAGCCAATCTCAGCAAGTGGGCGTGGCCTTTCATGGGGTGAGTCCTATAAAAGGCCACGCTGTGCAGAGCACACATCACTTCTCCAGAGCAGACTGACTGAAGTTGGAGCTGCCAGTTGAGTGAAGAGAATTCCTACTGACCCTGATATCGACAGAGCTTACCGAGGTGGGAGCACTCATAGCAGACTCTGGTGAATATGGAATTTAGAATGTATATGTTTTTATTTTTTGAGTAAATGTCTCTATTCCTTTAAAACCTTCAGGTCCAGAGTACCAGCTAGGCACGGAGGTACCCCGGAGCGGCGGTGGCGGCGTCCCTGAGCCGGACCGGACCGGACCGTGAGTGCTGCGCCGGGCATAAGTTGCCCCTTCCCGTCTCCAGCCCAGCCCTGCTTCACGCCTGTCGCTAACCGGGCTGCGGGACAGCCAAGCGCCAGGCCCAGGGTGCGGCCTGTGCGGGGACCTCAGGAGCCGCCTGCTAGGTGGGGTCGTGATGCTCTCCCCTTTAAATGATTTTATAAAACAGTGTGCTGCCCACGGTGCTGTCGCGGGCACTGAAAACAAGCAGAAGAAGATGGCGCTCACCAGCTTTTCACCTGCACCTACTCAGCTACCTCAGGACCAGCTTGAGGCTGAAGAAAAGGCAAGATCCCAGAGATCACAGCAGACCTCACTGGTCGCCTCCCGAAGAGAACCTCCCCCGTATGGGTACCGGCAAGGCTGGATACCTCGGTTAGTAGAGGACTTTGGAGATGGAGGTGCTTTTCCAGAGATCCATGTGGCCCAGTATCCACTGGATATGGGACGAAAGAAAAAAATGTCAAATGCCCTGGCCATTCAGGTGGATGCTGAAGGAAAAATT